CCTGGCGGCGGCGCAGCATTTCAGGTCTCCGAGACGGGCAGGTTCGTGATGGAGGCGCAGGGCGCGGCTGTCATTCCCGAGGGCGCTGGCGACGTTGGCGAAGCTCTAGTGTCTGAGTGGGCTAGCGCTGAAGTCATTCAATGCAATGGGCATCGCCTCCGACGTGCAGGGCCCGCGGTGTCCTGCGAGGTCTGCGCTGCCTGGTCAGCGGGAGGAGTGTCCAAGCAATTACTGGCGGAGTGTTGCGGTATACCTAGCGGCGAAGGCATGGGCAAACCGGCCCCCCCTAATATTGACTCGACCAGAAGGCGCTCGTTGAAAGGGCATGCGCGGCATGCGCCCCACGGACAACGTCAAGCTCACCTTGCCCGCTGTTCCCCAAGGAGGGTTGGCAGAAGTATCTACTGCGGCGGCCTTGTGGACGTCTTCTGCGCGCGTGCACTGGCCCCGGGAGAGCGACCCGCGAGGGTGTCCTGGCCAGTCGTTGGTGACGACTGCGCTTTTCTTTCCGACGGCCAGTTTTTTCTGCCCGGTGGGCTTGAGGGGCGCGACCCGAGAGAGTGTTCTGGCCAGCTGAACTGTTTGTGACGGCTGCGTTTGCCTCCCCGAAGGTCTGGGGGCATGAGAATCTGGCCACTCGTTGGCTGCAGGTGCGCTTGCCTCTCTTGGCTCCATTCCCAGCAGGAGCGACCCTGGGGGGTGTTCTGGCCACCTGTTGGTGACAGGTGCGCTTGCCTTCTGCTGGTATCGGGCCTTGCACGTCGGTTTCACGCAACTATGATGCGGGGGCGTGCTGCCCCTGTGACGTTTGGTTGGGGGGCGCAACCTGGATGGAGTTTTTGCGGCTACTTTCGCTGGCATTGGTTGGCGAGACGGTGGTCGCGCCCACTGGGGAGTGAGAGCTGATGGCCTGTCTGGTCCTTCTGGGGGCAGGCCCTACTGGATGATGGTGCTACTTCGATGGCCCGTCTGGCCCATCCTGGGGACGGGCCACAGTGGGGGTCTCAGTGTCGTCTGTGGATACGTGAGGACACGGACGTCGTCCTCGTTTGCGTGCCGACGGTGTTTGATCGTTGGTTCTGTTTTTGGCTGCGGGTCCTCAGTCGCCTTGCGAGGATCGGCAGCCGCTACATATTGCCCGCGGATCCCCAAGGGAAAGCGGGCGCGTCGTCGAAGGCTTGTTGGACGGCCTGTCTGGCCCTTCCTCGGCGATGCCTCTGTCGTGGCAGCCATGCTCTACGTCCTCGTGGTGGGCATCGGCTTCTTTATTGCCCGCGAGGCTCCCCTCCTGGGAAACCGGGAGCGCCGCCGTCCGCTACGCTGATGGCCCGTCTGGCCCCTCCTGGGGGCGGGCCCGCGCTGGAGTTGGTGGCGGGCGCCTTCGCCGTCCTCGCCTGAGGACGTGGCCGCCTTGGCCGTCCCGCCTGCTGTTCCTCGCGACGGACGGCTGCGCCAGGCCTCGTCCCTCGTCCCTCTTTCTTCCTCCCTCCCTCCCGCGCCACGCTCTGCCTCGCCTCCGCGTGCCGTGGGGGCGCCGCGGCGCGCGCCGCGCCCCCGCCGCATGCGCGCGCGGCTGCGGAGCGGCGCAGGGGCCAGGCTCCCCCTCCTCGCTCCTCGCTCCTCGCTCCTCGCTCTCCTCGCCCCTCGCCCTCGCTCCCCGCCTTCCTCGCTCCACACCCGGGCCGCGCGGTTCAGCGCACCGCGGCCCCCGCCTCTGCGCAGAGGCGCGCGCGGGCCCCTCCACGCAGCGCCCGGGCACGCACCGCACAGGCGTGGCCTCGGACTTCCAGCCACCTTGGGCACCGAGGTTGCAGGGCGAGCCATCTTGGTGGTGCCCCCGCTCATGCTCTTCGCCGTGGTGCTGATCCTGCGCCTTTGTCTTCCGCTTCCTCCCGCGCTGAGGACGGTCCTGCTGACGCCCCTCCCTGTGCTCCGACGGCCGTCCGGGAATGGTGCCTTGCGCGGGCACGGGCAGGGGCAGAGACGTCGACAAAGGGCTCATAGCCTCGCGATGTTGGGTGTGTCGCGGCTGCTGCTGATAATGGCGGCCGTGACCCATGGCATCGCGCCCAACGTCTTCTTGATGCTGCTCGCCCGCCCGGCCGTGCACGTGGTCGTGGCCATGACCATGTGCTCACACGCGCGGATCCTTGGGCTGAGGATTCAGCCCAAAAGGCGCGCCGCCGCCGCGAATGGCTGCTCGAACGTTTGCTCCTGATCGAGATCCACAGTCAACAGGTTCCGACCTCAATCGATTTCGCGATTGGAAAGGGGGAGGGCGCTTTCAAAATGCGGCTCTCGCTTCAGCGGCGCGCGCGTTCGTGCTGAAAGCTTGCCACGGTTGAGCGGATGGCAGGGGGGGTCAGGATGGGGCCCTCGCTTTCGCACCGCGCATCAGAGGGCAAATGTTGTTCTCGCGTTAGCGCCGCGCACGTTCGTCTTAAACGCTTACAGCCGTTACACGCGCGGAGGGAGATGTTCACAATCAGAGTTTGCCTCTGTAGGGGTCCTAGCGAATTCGTATGGTTGGGTGAGGTATGGCGCCGATTTCGGCGGCACGCCTGGGTGTCCGGGTGCCCGTGTTCCGTGTGCCCGGGGGGCCCGGGTGCCCAGGTGCCCGGGTGTTTGGGCGCCCGGCAGGCCCAGCGGATTCATATGGTTAGGTGAGGTGCGGCGCCGAATTCGGCGGTACGCCCAGGTGCCGGGATGCCCGGGCGCCCGGGTGCACAGGTGCCCGGGTGCCCGGTAGCCCTATAGCCCTATAGCCCCATAGCCTTATACCCCTTTAGGCCTATAGCCCCATAGCCCTATAGCCTTATATCCCTAACAACCTCATAGCGCAATAGCCCAACTGCCGTATAGCCTTATAGCCCTATAGCCTATAGCCCTATAGCCCCATAGCCTGTAGCAATGTTGCCCTATATCCTTATAGCCCCATAGCCCTATAGCCACATAGCCCAATAGCCCTTTTCTGCCCTATAGCCCTTTAGCCCTATAGCCCTATGGCCCTTTAGCATTATAGCACTTGAGCACTTGAGCCCTTTGGCCCTATAGCCATATAGCCCTATAGCCCCATTGTCTTAAAGCCCTACAGCCCTATAGCCCCATAGCCCTAAATATTTGAAGATCCGATGATTGGTTGTTTTTCTCTGGTGTCATTTTTCTCCCATAATTGCGCACTCACTTAGCAACGCGCGCATTCGCACTACAAGCTTGCGACCGTGGAATACGAGAATGGAGGGTGGCTCCTTTTCAAGGTGGAGCCCTCGCCTTAGCGACGAGCAGGTCTTTCTGCAAACGTTGACAGCAGTCAACAGAGGGGGGGGAGGGGGGCGCTCTTCTTTCACAACAGGGGGTCTCGCTGGTCAACCCGCGGAGCTGTGTGATCACACATCCGACAGTTTGGTGTTCCTGCTTCGCCAGAAGGATGCAGGGCAGCTCGTCTTCAGAGAACGGGGCTCTCGCCCGAGCGGCAGGCCCACGGGGAGCTGTGTTGCTCCGGGGGGCGCGCGTTCTAGTGAGGGGCAGGGCTTCTGTGGACTTTTGAGGAGGGGACCTGCGACGGGAAGGTGCGCGTTCGGATGATGCGTCTCGGGTTTGCTCTGGTCTTTCTTCCTCCTCGTCTTCCTCCTCATCCTCCTCCTCCTCATCCTCCTCCTCCCTCTGCCTCCTCGGTGGGAGTTCCTCCTCGATTCCTCGCGTGGTGGTCGTGCCTGGCGGCTCCTCCTCTCCGTCGTGTCGTCTCCGTCGCTGCCGTCGCCGTCGCTGCCGTCGGCCGTCGTTGTCGTTGGTGCCCCTGTGGGTGGCGTGGGTTTGGCGTGGCTCGGCCCCTGCCGAGTGTCTGTCGGTGGTTGTGCGTTCCAGCTGAGGTGAAGTCGGGCACGTCCCTTTACAGGAGGGATATTCGAAAATAGTCAAAAATAGTCAGGGCACGATTTTCTCAGTAGTTTTTGACCATGATGGCTTTCTTGTTGACTGCTTTCTATGTTTCGTCCCAAACTCCCTCTGTAGGAGGACAGGCCCGACTTCGAGCTGAGGGGTACGTGGCCGGGAGCTGGCCTGTCCTTCCCACCCTGCCTGCCATGGTGCCCCGCGCGCCGCCGGCGCTCGCGGGGCGCCCGGCGCGCTGGGCTGCGTAACCGTTGCCCGCTTGATCTTGCCGACTGGCTCGCAGAGGAACAGTCTCTCCTCCTCTTCTTCCTCCTCTTCTTCCTCCTCTTCTTCCTCCTCCCTTTTGCGTTAAGCAAGCCCAAGGTGAAACTCTGTGGCGTTCTTGATTTGAACCAAAAGGCGTACGCGACTCCTCGGCTCACAATGTAGCTGGCGGGCGCCGCGGAAAATGAAAGAAAATAAGGCCGTGACGAGAGTAGTTACAGGAGCAGGCGCCCGCCGGGTACTAGAGTTCGGCACTAGCTTTAGTGTGATAAGCCCAACCTACCCCTTTTATCCAGGTAAAGAATAAGCTCCTGAAGTTTAAGTGGAAGGGCCGCCGTGGTTGGTAAGGTGCAAGCAAAACACATATGAGTGTAAGGAATGTCATGCAAGTGCATAGATGCGAACCTGAAATCATCCCTACTGTCAGGGCTGACCATCCTGGGAGGTCGATCATCCTTACTGAGGATACCTGTGGCTGGTTTGGCGTCACCCCAACATACTCATACTATACGTGCGTCGTCTTCCATGGGCGACGCGCGCACCGAGAAGTCTTATAGTATATGCGTCGTGGCGGGCGCTTTCTGGCCACGCCGCTTGGGAAACGATATACTACGAGACGGGTATACAACATGTTCGGGCCGGACACGCGCCTTCACGGAGGACATCTAGTATTAGTGTGTCTCTGTGCGTCCTACTGGTCGATCATCCATCGTCGTCCTCCTCCTCCTCCTCCTCCTCCTCCTCCTCCTCCCACTCCTTCTATCACTCCCCTTCATCCCCCTCCTCCTTGTCCCCGTCGTCCCCTCCTCTCGGCCTCCGGGTGCCACCGGAAACCTCCCCGGGAGGTACGGGTGCGACCTCGAGAAGTACGACAGCATGGCCGCATGGTGCTCGGGATTCAATTTGTAGTTTGCTCTTGTAGACTGTTTTTTTAGGGTCCGGCGATGACCCAGGTTATCGGGCTTGCCCTCTCCTCCCCTCCTCCCCCCCCGATAACCCAGGTAGTCGCCGATTCAAGTAAACGGTCTCCTGTCTCTTGTGGTTATCAGCGGACTTCTCGTTCGGCTCTGTGGGCGCCTCGACCTGACCAGGTCAACGCACGCGCTCCGTCGCTCATTCGACGTTGCAAGTGTAAACGTCTTTGATACAGCTCCACTCCGTCCCTGGAAGGAGAAGCTGCATTCCTTCCCCCCGCCGAAGAAATGAAACCGACCCTCGTGGTGGCGCCTCCGTCGCCGCCCCTGGTGGGCGGAGCGCGCCAGGGAGGGGGGTCCAGCGCCGATCCAAGAAATCCGAGCGGACCTTTGAAATTGTGGTGATTTTCTATATTATTCCATTTTGCTCTATAATCGTGGGTCCTCCCCTGCAGGGTCAAGAACCACGGCGTCAAGGTCCGCGGCTTCCCCGGGGTGAAGCACGTCGAGATCGCCGTGTGCGGCACCGGCCGCATGGGCCTTGGGGAGCAGACAACCTGCGCCCCAGCACCTCACCCTCCGTCCCAGCACACCACCCCCAACAACCTGACGGAAGGAGGTGGAAAAAGGGACGAGTTGATCTTCCCTGACGAGGCGGAGAAGGAGGAGGAGGGCAGCGCTCCGACGAAGCTCCGATGCCCGCAGAGTGACAGGAAAAGGAGGGGGATGATGATGATGATGAGGAGGAGTGGCATGCACGGCTCCTTGGTCGCCCATGTATTGCCGATAGGATGACGATGATGATGATGATGATGATGATGATGATGATGATGATGCTGACGATGATGATGACGATGATGATGACGATGACGATGACGTTGACGATGACGATGATGATGCTGATGATGATGATGCTGCTGCTGATGATCATAATGATAACCAGGATGATGATGATACCGATGATGATGCTGCTGAGGATGATGATGGTGATAGTGATGGTGAAGCTGACGATGATGACGACGATGACGATGGCGATGATGATGCTGATGATGATGATGCTGACGAGGACAACGATGACGAAGTTGACGATGCTCATGATGCTGAGGATGATGATGACGATGACGACGACGGTGGTGATGCTGACGATGATGATAATGATGATGGTGATGTTGATGATGGTGATGAGGATGATGATGCTGCTGCTGACGAACAAGACGATGCTGATGATGCTGCTGATGATGATGATGACGATGGTGGCGACGATGAAGATTAATGCTGATGATGAGGGTTATGACGATTATGTTGTTGATGCTGTTTTACGTTGATAATGGTAAGAGCAATGTGGAATGATGATGATGATGATGCCGATGCTGATGATGATGACGATGATGACTCTGATGTCTCTGCTGCTGATGATAATTGTGATGTTGTCGATGCTGATGATGTCGATGATGATGCTGATGACGACGATGATGATGATTTGCTGATGATGCCTTCAACGATGATGGTGGTGACGATGCTTCTGATGATTATGCTGATAATCAGGATGATGATGATGCTGTTGATGATGATGCGGATGATGATGATGATGATGATGATGATGATGATGATGATGATGATGATGATGATGCTGCAGTTGATGCGGATAGTGCTGATGGTGATGGTGGTGGTGGTGATGATGCTGACGATGCTGATGATGCTGATGATGATGCTGCTGATGATGATGCCGCTGATGATGAAGATGCTGATGAACATGATAATACCGGTGGTGGTGATGATGATGACGGTGGTGATGCCGATGATGCCGATGATGATGATGATGATGATGATGCTGACGATGATGATGGTAGTGACGATGATCATGCTCATGAGGGTGGCAATGATGAGGATGTGGATGATTATGCTGATGATGAATGTGCTGCTGTTGATGATGCTGATGACACTGATGGTGAGGATGATGGTGATGTTAATGATGCTGATGCTGGTCGATGCTGATGATGCCGATGATGATGTAGATGATCTTGATGATGTTGATGCTAATGACGATGCAGATGTTGACGATTATGATCATGATGATGAGGATGATGTTGACGATGACGATGGCGATGCTGGTGATGACAATGATGATGATGCTGGTGATGATGATGATGATGACGATAAGGACGATTATGATGATGATGCTGATGATGATGCTGATGCTGTTGATGATGATGGTGATGATGATAGTAATGATGACGACGATGCTGCTGCTGATGATGATGATGATGCTGATAATGATGACGATGAGGCTGGTGGTGGTCGTGGTGGTGGTGGTGATACTGGCGATGCTGCAACGGCTGCCGATGATGATGAAGATGCTGATGATGATTTTGCTGCTGCTGATGATGATGATGATGATGATTATGCTGATGCTGAGGCTGATGATAATGATGATGCCGATGCTGCTGATGATGACGATACTGATGATGCTGATGATGATGATGATGATGATCGTGGTGGTGGTGGTGGTGATGATGATGATGATGATGATGCAGACGATGATGCTGCTGATGATGATTGTGATAATGGTAGGAGAAGTGGAGGAGGAGGAAGAGGAGGAGGAGGAGGAGGGGAAGGAGGCTGAGGGGGAGGATGAGGAGGAGGGGGAGGAGGAGGAGGATGAGGATGAGGAGGAGGAGGAGGAGGAGGCGAAGATGCATCGCCCCTTGGTTGCCCATGTATTGCCTCTGGGGAGAGGAGCAGGAGGAGGATGAGGAGGAGGCGCAGGTGGAGAAGGACTATGAGTAGGAGGAGTAGGATGAGGAGGAGGAGGAGGAGGTGGTGGAGGGGTGATGCCTCGCTCCTTGGTCGCCCATGTTTTGCGGATCGGAGGGGGGGGAGTAGGAGGAGGAGCAGGAGGCGGTGAAGGAGGAGGAGGGGGGGAGGAGGAGGAGAAGGAGGTGGAGGAGGAGAAGGAGGGGAACGAGCAGGATGAGGAGGAGGAGGATGTCGAGGTTGAGGAGGTAGAGGAGTTCGAGGAGGGTGAGGAGGGGGAAGAGGAGGGGGAGGAGGACGAGGAGGGGGACGACGATGCTGCTGATGTTGACGATGCTGATGATGCTGCTGATGATGATGCTGCTGATGCTGATGCTGATGACGATGATGAGGTTGGTGATGTTGATGCTGGCGATGATGGTGGTTGTAACGATGCTGCTGCTGATCATGATAAGCATGATGAGCATGATGCTGCTGATGAGGATGCTGATGGTCATGCTGGTGATGAGGATGATGATGATGTTGATGGTGATGGTGGTGGTGATGCTGATGATGACGATGCTGATAGTGATGCCGATGACTATGCTGCTGATGATGCCATGCTGCTGTTGATGAAGATTATGATAGTGGTGATGGTGATGCTGATGACAATGGTGGTGCTGCCGATGATGATGATGGTGACGATGACGATGCTGATGTTGCTGGTGATGATGCTGAGGGTGTTGATGATGCTGCTGCTGATGATGATGATGGCGATGGTTATTGTTATGATGATGATGATGATGATGATGATGATGATGATGATGATGATGGTTGTGGTTGTGACGGTTTGACGCTGATGATGATTATGATGTTGATGCTACTGATGTTGCGTATGCGGATGCTGATGATGTTGATGATGATGATGATGCTGCCGATGGCGATGATGCTGATGATGATTATGATGATGATGATGATGCTGATGATGATGATGATGGTGATGCTTAGGCTGATGAAGATGATCATGAATATGATGATGATGATGATGTTGCTGATGATGATGCTGATTACGATACTGATGATGATGCTGATGTTGATGATGCCTATGATGATAGTGGTGGTGATGCGGCTGATGATGGTGATGTTGATGCGCATACTGATGGTGTTGCTATTGTTGGTGGTGCTGAGTATGATGCTGATGCTGCTGATGATGACGGTGATGATGAGTGTGATGATGACGATGATGATGATGACGATGATGATCAGGATTATGAGGATGCTGCTGATGATGAGTTTACTGATTATGATGCTGATGCTCACGTTGAGTGTGGTGCTGGTAACGATTATGACTATGATGATGATGATGATGATGATGATGATGCTGGTGATGATGACGATGATGATGATGATGCTGATGGTGATGATGATGATGCTGATGATGATGATGATGCTGATGCTGATGCTGATGTGGATGATGATGCTGATGATGATGCTGATGCTGATGCTGATGCTGAATATGCTGATTCTGATGATGATGATGCTGATGATGATGATGATGATGATGATGATGATGATGATGATGATGATGAGAGGAAACGAGGAGGAGGAGCAGGAGGATGAGGAGGAGCAGAAGCAGGAGGAGGAGGAGGCGGAGGAGGAGAGGGATGCATCGCCCCTGGGTTGCCATTGGATTGCCAATGGAAGGAGGAGGATGAGGAGGAGAAGGAGGAGGAGGAGGAGGAGGAACAGAAGCAGGACGAGGAGGAGCAGCAGAAGGAGGAGCAGGAGAAGGAGGAGGATCAGGAGGAGGAGGAGGAGGAGAAGGAGGTGGAGGGGGATGCATCGCCCCTTGGTCGCCCATGTATTGCCTATAGGGAGGAGGAGGAGGAGGAGGAGGAGGAGGAGGAGGAGGAGGAGGAGGAGGAGGAGCAGGAGGAGGAGGAGGAAGAGGAGGAGGAAGAGGAGGAGGAGGAGGAGGAGGCCTCCTCCTGCCGAGTGCAACCCCATGATATTTTCGAGCCGCGCCGATCTTTTCTCCGGCCCCCGCGCACTGCCGAGGAGGGCGGACCGCCTTCCTCTGCCCGTAGCCTGTGCCCCTCCTCCCTCCCTCTCCTCCCAGTTCCCTCCCTCCCTGAGCCCTTAGCCATTTCCGTCCTCTCCTCCTCCCTGTCCTCCTCCTCCTGAGGTGTTCTCCCCCTTTCTCGTCACCCCTTCTCCCCTACTCTCTCTTCGATCCTCGGTTCTCCTCCTATCCTTCTCTCCATTTCTCCTCCCCCCCCTCTTCATCCACCCTTACGGCCAGGAGCGTTTGCTCAGCGTGACGCGTCGCCGGGCCCCCAGCGTGACACGCTGATCCAGGGATCAACGCTCCGCGAGGCAGAGCGACATGCTGTCCGCTCGCAGGGCATACCGTGTCGTCAGGGCCGCCGCCGCGATACGCGAAACAAACGTTCCTGACCGTAGCATATCGATCTTGGGTCCTACACGGCTACAGGAAGGTTTAGGGTGGTGGTGGTCGTGTGGGGGGGTGCAGCTGTTTGTTTCCCAGGCGTGTTCACGGAGTACAACGACCTGGCCTCTTTCAAGGAGTACATGGACTCCGATCTGTACAAGAAGCTTGCCGAGGACCTCAAGAACCAGGACTGGTACGACGCCTCCAAGGAGCCCCAGTCCTTCGTCGGGTTCAAGCAGCCGAACCTCTGACTCCGCACAGGCCTGGACCGCACCTGCGGCGAACGGTGAAGCTGGCATCGGCTTTGGGCGCAATTGTGTATTATCGACCGTTCGGCCAGATGCTCAAGTCGGGGGCAACGTTCGGAGGGGATTGGGCTCGGAGGGGATGCACATCGACCCCGAACCGCCCACTACCGCCGAGAGGGGGCCGCCCGCCCGCCCCGTCCAGGACCGTGAGCATTCGCTGTCGGGGGCCTGTCGCCGATCCATCGGCGAGGTGTCGCCGACGACAGCTCGACGGTCCCCGCCCGCCCGAGTCAGTCGCCCCTGACTTGACTTCGTCCCTCGCAAAGGGACAGGACCAGCACTACATCGGTTTAGTCTTACGGCGGGCGTGTGTCCCCTACAGGAGGAATATCAAAAAATAGTAAAAAAATAGTCTCGGGACGATTTGTTTGACTATTGTTGGCCATGTTTAGAGCATGTTTTGAATCTTTGTATTTTTTCCTCCAAGCTCCCCGTGTAGGGGGACACGCCCGACCTAGATTTAGTCTGAGCGCCCAGGATCTGGAAAAAGCTCACCTCTGCAGCGCGCGCTCGTCCTCGCCGCCATCGTCCTCTGACGGGCCTGTTTTCCACCACCACCACCACCATAAGTTGGAGGGGGGAAGGAGGTGGAGGACGAGGAAGAGGAGGACGAAGAGGAGGAGGAGGAGGAGGAGGAGGAGGAGGAGGAGGAGGAGGACCTCCTTCCCCTCCAAAGCATGGTGGTGGTGGTGGACGACAGGCCTGTCATCCTCTCCCTCCTCGCAGCGCACCCGCCAGAGCGACCGTGACTCTCTCGCCCTCGCCCTCGCCCTCGCCCTCGCCCTCGCCCTCGCCGCCGCCGCCGCCGCCGCCGCCGCCGTCGTCGCCGTCGTCGTCGTCGTCGTCGTCGTCGTCGTCGTCCGTTTTTCTGCTGTTGCTGTTGCTCCGGCCCCCCCCCTCCCCTTCGAGGCGCACGAGGCGTGCCCGCAAGGTGGGATGCCTCTGCTCTGGGCCGCGTGTGCCAGGAGAGCCCCTCGATGGGGCAGCGGCCTGCTCTTGCTTCTCGGGCCGGCCGCTCCGCACCCCCTGCGCCTGGCTTCAAGTCGGGCGTGTCCCTCTGCAGGAGGAATATTCGGAAATGCGAACAAATAAATAGTCTGGGGACGATGTATCGATTAGCTTTTTGTGGGTTTTGCTATTCAGGGCTTGTGGAGAACAATTTATGTTTCGTCCAACATCTGCCTGTGGGGGGACACGCCCGACCTACGCTTGGCTGTCCGCCCCCTCGCGCGTGGCTGGGTCGCTCCCGCCCCTCCCCCGTCCTCCAGTAGGCCACATGCGAACCCTACCCCACCACCCCACGATCTCGAAGGGGGGAGGCGGGGTAGAATTCTCGGGCCGGGCGAAAGGGGGGGATTGGGAAAGGGGGGGTTACGAAATCTGCTGCATGCAGCTGGTTTTGGCCCCACCGAGGGGCCCATTCCTCGATACATGGGCGCCTCCCGGCGCCGGGAGGCGCCTGGAAAATCAGCTACGTGAGCTGATTCTCAAACCCCCCCTTTGCTATCCCCCCCTTTCGCCCGACCCGAAATTCGCACGTGGCCTCCTATTGCTGAGGCCTTACGGCCGGTGCCACCGACCCTGGAGGCCTCGGCCCTCGACGGAGATGGGAGGGAGAAGGCGGGCCGTGGGCCCCATCAGGGTGGGACCCCCCCGGGGACCCCCCCTATGGAAGGGAGAGGGCGGGCCATGGGTCCCGGGAGGGTGGTATTCTGACCCGGGACCCCCTCCTCCCCCTTCCGCGGGGAAGAGATCAAAGGGAAGGGGCTTCTTTTCGACTCAGTGACAACGTTGCTTACTTTCGCTGTGGATGGGCTGGTGTATTTCGCTTTGGCTGGCGTGCTTGAGGACGAGGGCCCAGTGAAAGGGGGGGAACGGCGACGGACTCAGGGGAAGGAGGGGACGTGATGGCGGCGGCGACGCGACGGCGGCAGTGACGGCGATGGCGACGGAACAGCCCCTGTCACACGCCGACAGGGTCGGCGGATTTTTAGGGTCGGCGCTGGACCCCCGTTGCAGCGCCTCCGGCGCCGCTTCTGACGCGCTCCGCGCGTAAGGGGGGGGGGATCCAGCGTCGACCCAAGAAATCCGCGTGAACCTTCGACAGTTGATGCTTATGTCTCTTGTCGCTTCTCGAGGGAATGCTGAGGTGCAGGAGTAAGCCCAGGCGTCGGACGAGGAGGAGGAGGAGGAGGAGGAGGAGGACAATGTAGTAGTCGCAGGGGGGGAGCAGGATGCGCGCTGCGCTCCGGGAGGACGGGAACTGCCCCAACGCCGGAAGCTGTTCGTTTGCGCACTCGGAGTCGGAGCTCCGGGTCACGGATGGCATCTACAAGACCCAGATGTGTCATTTCTTCGAGCGCGGCTTGCCTAGCGGTCTTTTGCCTGCACGTTGCCGAGACGTCCTCACGTCGTGTCAAGAGCACGACGGGATAGTCTTGGGTGTTTTTTCGGCTTGAGGGGGCCTTGCTTGACCCCAGGGCCTTCAAAGCAGCCGAAGGCGAAGAACCAAACCCAGAGAAGCGGTTGACACTTATGATGTTCCAACCTACTCTAGCCTTCGATCACCAAACAAAAATCGTGCACCAAGGAAGTACCAAAACTTGATGGTTTTCACGTGTCGGGCCCTGGGAGGCCATGCTTGTTCGGCACTGTTTCGATACTCTCCTGGGTGCTCGAGATTTTCTTTTGGATGTGGTCCTTGAGTACGATGGGAGCAACCTAGTTAGGCCCCCCCTTTTGTAGGACCGCGTCAGTTGAAGAAACGCCACGACGTCGGGCGCCTGGGCACGTCGCATCCTCCTGGTCCCGCTGGCCCCCCGCCCCGCGCCCCTTCCCGCTCTTGCTGGTCGGGGAGGTGCTGCGGGCCAGTCGGCCGCGCGCGCCTCGTCTTTCGGATGCAGCTTCTGGCTCAACCCAGTAGTAATCCAGCCTATAGTAGTAGCTACCCGTACTACTACGACTATATTACTACCTTTGCAATTTTCGCGTCGTAATCCGCCGAATCCCGTTTAATCTGGCTTAATCCCGTTTAATATGGCTGAATCCCGCTTCATCCCCGGCTGAATCTGGCGTAGCAGTCCCCCTGTGGGGGTTGATCTTCCTTCTAGTCTTTCCGACCAAGACCTCCCAGTAGTTGCCTCCGAATCGTTTGCTCGTGATTCCTTATCGGCCTTGCCCGTGAGCCGACGAGGGCTTCAGCGGGTCTCCGTGGTCGAAGAAGAACAGCGCCACAACCATGAATTTTGGGCGTTCCGCGCGGAGTTTTTGGATCTGCGCTGGGCCCCCCTGGCGGCGCCTCCGGCGCCGCCCCTGGCGCGCTCCGCACGCCAAGGAGTTGGGTCCAGCGCCGATCCAAGAAATTCGCGCGGAACGCCAACAGTTTATGTTTATGGCGTTTTTCGTGATTCTGTGTGGGCCAGAACGGTCCCTCAGGCGTGCTGTGTAAATTCCCTTGTAGCCGCCAGCAGCGCCTGAAGCCTCCTGGAGGCCCCAGGAGGTGCCCCCCCACAGGAACACCCTGGCTGCCGAGGCATTGGTTGTTCGCTCGTTCTTGCTCTTGGTGTTTCTTTGTGTGTCTCGCCTCATTCGCCCTCTTTTCCTCTGCAACCACTGCCTCCCCCGTCTCTTGCATCTCGTCCTCTTTCGTACTCAAATCGGATGCCCCGCCGCCGTTTTGCTTCAGCGCCCGCGCGTAGTAAACATAGATGGGTGAGTTGAAGAGCCCGCTAGCCACATTTCATTGCCGCGATGCTTTCTCTCGTCAGGCTTCCAAACCCCGCAATTCCAGTTGGTTGCGGAGCTGAGAACGATCCCAGCCCGCGATCCACGAACCGTGCGCAGAAGACGATGTGGACGCCCGTTCGCTGCGCCCTTCGCCTCCGCAGTGGTACCACACTCCAATCCCTGAGCAGCTCTTGCTTATTCCTGTTCTGCAGACCTACGGGTCATTCGCCCCCATCCCGAACAATCAACATATTTGGAGTCTCTGTGCAGATCGGGCTGCGAGGATTAAAATCAGTTGCAGGCGACGCGATGCGGAGCGAACCGCTCACGGGAAGGCCATGACGTTCCCACGACCCATCGCATCCAACAGGTGGTGGCCGCAGCTTCGCGTTTGGCATGACGGCGGAGCTCCTCCTTGGGGTAGCACTGTGCCTTGTGATGTGTGCGACTGTGCGCGTGGTCCTCGTGAACACGTCGCACCAGTCGGGTGGAACACTGAATGCTAACGTACCAGTCTCACCACCCTTGGCCTCGACTAGGGATGCCAGCACGACAACGGTTGCCCCAACCTTCGACATGGCGTTCGTCCATGCGCAGGCCGCAGTCCCAAAACTCCTCCGCAACTGACTCCAAGGGCCGCGATAATATGTTTGTGGTAGGGCCGGGCTCGCTCGCGTTTCCAGATGGGAATCTCTAGTAACCATGCTTTCTTTGGTGGCGCGCAGAAATTGAGCACCCATCCGGAATCTCTTAGCTTCCAAATAATTGGGTTCAACGGGGGCCGGTCCAGCTTCGGCGCTGTTGACGGGGGCAAAGAAGTCGTTTCGCTCGGTGAAAGGCGGTGTGCATCGCACCGCTCGCGGTGCGAAGGGCTGGTCGATGGGGGCGCGCTCCTGCGTGGTATGGCTGAGTCGAGTTCCGGAAGCGAGAAGCCGGATTCTCTGTCCTCGACATTTCAGATCGACGTTCAGGCCGTAGCCCCCCAATGGGGTTTGATTCGCATGAATCCTTCCGGCGAAGACCTCCCAGTAGTCGTCTTTTGACCCCTTTCCGTTTGCGCTTTTTTCCCGCCGACAAGGGAAAGAGTCGGCCAGGCGAGTGTTCGGCCAGCTGGAGCTCGGCAAGTTGAGCTCTGCCAGGCTGAACTGGGCCCGGGCGGCCGATTCAGCTTGGCGGAGCTCAGCTTTGCCGAGGGCAATTTGGCCGAGGTTCAGCTTGGCCGAGCTCAGCTGGCTGGGTTCAGCATGGAAGAGTTCGTCCTAGCCAAGCTTAGTTGCTGCCCCACCGAGGCGGAAGATGTCTCAAGGGGGACAGGTGCAACCACGCCCACGGCCCCGACGACCTGCGCAGGTCCCTCGCGGCGGCGGCCGCCGCGTCCAGCACCAGCGGGCCGGAGCTTGTGACGGACGACCAGCGAGCAGTTGTCGGGCACTCGGGGGCCCGGATGGATTCCCGACTGGTCGCATTTCTTCCCTTAGTCGGCGACTACAAAGGGTGTGGTTACGCCGGGATTTGGTTTGCGATCAGCGCCGTTGGGTCCTGGGGGGCACGACGCTATCCTCGTCGGGCCTCTTCGGGGCGCGGGGGAACTCTATCGAGGTCCCCGCGCGCCCCCCAGGGTGCCCCCCAGGATGTTCCCCAGGGTGCCGGTTGCAAACCACACCCTCTGGAGTCGCCGACTTAGACTCGGGGGGAAACCGCGCACCTCCACCCCCACCTGACCCCTCGCCCCCCGCTGGGGCTGGGCCAAAGAGCTTCGGCTCTCGATTGTGCAGATGCTTCGACGGCGCTCGCAGGGGGGAAGGCTCCGGAGGCTTAGAAGCACCCTCACACACGAGAGCCGAAGCCTCCTCACACTCGAAGGCCTTCGGAGAGGGGGGAGACCTTCTCCGAGGGGGGCCTTCACCGAGAGGGCCTCCCGAAGAGGCCTTCTCTCGAAAGAGGCAGGCCTTTTCCGAGGGGGGCAGGCCTTCTCCGAAGGCTCAGAAGGCCTCCGGCCTTGTGAAGAGGTTTCTCATTTCTGGGGCTGCGCGTTGAAGGCACACCTCCAGGGAGAGAAACAGGTAATTACCGCACCGCCGATCTTGTACATCCGACATCACGCGCCGCCGATTTCGTACATCCGACATCACGTGTCGTCACCGCCTCCCCCCATCGACGCCCCGCCGATCTTCTACATCCGGGCGGGCATCACAAAAAAACCCAACTGCAGGTGTTTTGACGTCTTCTGTCTCTGGAGATTGTCCCCCGGCCCCACGACCGTCAAGGCAACTCAGGACGAATACTTAGCCCAGGGGAAGTGGACGCTGCGATGTCCCAGAAGATCTTTCCTCCCGCTCCCCGCTTATAGATCACCCAAGGAAGGGCCACCCTAGGGCTACCCCTAGGGCCTACCCCTAGGGCTACCCTAGGGCTACCCCTAGGGCCTACCCCCAGAGCTACCCTAGGCCTACCCCTAGGGCCTACCCCTAGGGCTGCCCTAGGCCTACCCCTAGGGCCTACCCCTAGGGTTACCCTAGGCCTACCCCTAGGGCTGACCCCTAGGGCTACCCTAGGGCTACCCCAGGGCCTACCCGTAGGGCTACCCCTAGGGCCTACCCCTTGGGTTACCCTAGGCTTACCCCTAGGGCCTACTCCTAGGGCTACTCTAGGCCTACCCATGGGGCCTACCTACCCCTAGGGCGACCCAGGGGTAGGCCTAGGGAGGAGGAGGAGGAGGAGGAGGAGGAGGAGGAGGAGGAGGAGGAGGAGGAGGGACGGAGAGAGGAGGAGGAGGGGGACGACGAGGAGGAGGAGGACGAGGAGGAGGAGGAGGAGGAGGTGGCAGCCCCGCCTGCGCCGCCCTGGCGCCAGACGGCGCCCCCGTCGACCGTCGATCGGCTCGGCTTTGCGTCGCTGTCGTCGTCGTCGTCGTCGTCGTCGTCGTCGTCGTCGCCGTTGCCGTCGTCGACGTCGCGGCCGCCGCCGCCGTCGCCGTCGCCGTCGCCGTCGCCGGCCGCTTGCCCCCCCCACTGGTGGACCTTGGGACGAAAAGGGACCGCTGCGGACCACGGGAGGGCGGGCCCCTTCGGCGCCCCCCCTGCGCGATGGCACTGGACCGCCTCCGGGGTACCCGGGTTCACCGGGAACCACCCCACCGGCAGTCCGCCGACCCTCTGGGGCCGATGTGGGGAGGGGCCGAGCCGGGCCCGTGCGGGGGGGCGTAAACGGGAAACACAAAGACAAGAAACCTTCGGACCGACGGCGGCGACGACGGCGGCGACGGCGCGGGGCCCCCACCCCCTCACAGACCCCCCCCCTCACACACACACACACACCCCTCCCGTGCAAACCGCCCCCCCCCCTCACAGACCACCCCTCGCAGACCCCCCCCTCGCAGACCCCCCCCTCGCAGACCTCCCCCCCTCACAGACCCCCATTCTGGACGCCCCCCCTCACAGATCCCCCCCTCACAGGCCCCCCCCTCACAGACCCCCCCCCTCGCAGACCTCCCCCCTCTCGCAGACCCCCCTCTCGCAGACCTCCCCCCTCTCGCAGACCCCCCCTTCGCAGACCCCCCCCTTCGCAGAGACCCCCCCTTTGGGACCCCCCCTCACAGACCCTTCCCCCCTTGGGGGTTCCCTCCCCCCTCTCGGAGACTCGGAAGACGAGGGGCCAGGAGGAGGGAGGAGGGGACGGAGCACGCCTTTCCGAGGTACGCCAGGAGTCGAAACGGCGGCGTTGCAGGCGTGAAACCGCGTGCTCCCCAACACGGTGGCAATCCGCTGCCGAATGGAATCACCCCTTTGTAATCCGCCACCAAAGCAATCAATGCATTTAATGCCCCGCCCGCCCGCCCGACCAAAGGAATAAGTTTGTAATCCGCTGCCAAAGGGAATCCCTGTGTAATTCACCACGCAAGCAATCATTGCCTTTAATGTCCCGCCCGCCCGCCCGACAAAAGGAATCGTTGTGCAATCTGCCACAATAAGAGTCAGTTTGCCATCCGCCACACAAACAATCAATGCCTTTAATATCCCCCCCGCCCGCCCGACAAACATAATCAGTTGATAATCCACCGCAAAGGGAATCGACTCGTAATCCGCTACCAACGGGAAGCACTTGGTTATACACCACACAAGCAATCAATGCTTTTAACGTCCCACCCGCCCGCCCGACTGAAGTCATCAATTTGTAATCCGCTACCAAAGGGAATCAAACTGTAATCCGCCACCAAAGCAATCAATGCATTTAATGTCCCGGCCGCCCTCCCGACCAAAGGAATCAGTTTGCAATCCGCAATGAAAGGGCTACCCCTAGGACCTACCCCTAGGGCTAACCCTAGGGCTAACCCTAGGGCCCACCCTTAGAGCTACCCTAGGGCTACCCCTAGGGCCTACCCCTAGGGCCTACCCCTAGGGCTACCCTAGGGCTACCCCTAGGGCCCACCCCTAGAGCCCCCTAGGGCTACCCCGAGGGCCTACCCCTAGGGCTACCCTAGGGCTACGCCTACCCCTAGGGCTACCCTAGGGTGTCCAGTAGGGCCTACCCTTGGGAAGCCTAGGGCCTTCAGTAGAGCCTACCCTTGGGAAGCCTAGGGCCTTCTGTAGGGCCTACCCTTGGGAAGCCTAGGGCCTTCAGTAGGGCCTAACCCTTGGGAAGCCTAGGGTCGGTAGAAGGGCCTAGGGTAGCCAAGGCCCCCGGTGATCTATACCGCTCCCCGCCATCCCCCTTCCCTGTGCTGCCCTTCCACCGCCCCTCTTAGGGCGCCTTGCGACTCCTCTGATTTCGACCGATTCCGCTTTCGATTAATTTCGACATTTGATTCCGATTTGTGTGTGTGTGTGTCGGTACTCATGGGAGGCTTTGCTAACCCGCCGATTTCCCGCCGATTCGATTCCATCCGACATGGCTGCCGAACTTCAACGGTCTGATTCATTTCGATCGCCTATCCGACTTATGAATTCGAGTATGGGTTTTCATGCCCGTTTTTCCTCCCTCCTCCTACTGTGTTGTGTCCTTGCCTGCTCGTCCTCTTTCTCCCAGCCCCAGTCGCTCCGTGCTCCTTTTGCCTTTCCTGTCTCTCCTCCTGCACCTGCCTCTCATCCTCGCCCTCGCTCTTCTTTTCGGGTGCTAATCCTTGCCTGCACCGGGAAGGACGAGCACGGAGTTATGAACGATCGAAATGGGTACAGAAAGCATGGGGACGAAGTTTGACAGCATATGTTGCTCATTTGAACAGGATTCCTTGTCGTCATCGCCACGGACGGTGTCCATTCGATACATGAAGGTGCGTGCGCAACAGCGGCCGTTGTCGGTGTTGGACAGCACTTGTTGTTGGGCACCCTCCTTTTTTTCCGTGCAGCTGTCGCCACTTTCGCGCGTCCTTGGGAAGGGAGGGGTCCATCGGAGTGCGGCCGTACGCAGCTCCAACTGAGGGGCTTCCGTATGTGACCTTGCGTCCCTTGTTCGTTGCCAATCGTGATGTTGTTGCATTTTGTGCGTCCCTTGGGGACCCAGCGGAGTGCGGCGTTACGGTAGGTTCGTGTCGAGACGACGCGGCAGCGACCCCGTCGCGGAGCTCAAGTTTGAACGCCGCCAGTGGACAAGAATCGGCCAGGATGATCTGGCGATTTTGAAATTGCTGATCGTTCAAGATTAATGGATTCACTCGGGGTCGTTACGACACGATTTGCGGTACGTACGCCGGCTCATAAGAGAGTTTGCTTTTCTTGCTCGCTGCCAAGTGCTCGACCGTCGTCTCTCTCTCTCTCTCTCTCTGCGTCCATCGGGGTCTTGCGGGGAGTGCGGCCTCGCGCAGATCCACTTGAGGCCTAGCCTCCCCTGGGCGCTGCCACTCGCGCAAATGGCGTCGCGGTCGTTCGCCCCTGGGAGGGTCCGCGGTGTGTGTGTGTGTTTGGGGGGTCAGGTCCAAACGAGAACTCGCCTGTCCTGGGCGCTGCCACGCGTAGACTTGTACCAGTTCTGGATAGACGCTTCGCGCATCAGCACCAGCCCAACACTCAAAGGATGCCCAGGCGAGTTGCCTTTACCGAGGAAATGCAGGACCAATCACTGGAACAACAAGTGGTCAGTCATCAAACCCAGACTCGGCATCTGCCTCAGCAGGCGCAGGAGCCAACCATACATGCATTCGCGGCCCTTTTGATATGGGAGGCGCGTGGCAGCTTACTTGGGCCATCTTGTAGCGCTCTTGGGGCCATGTTGGGAGCCTTTGGGACTCTCGGGGCCCTCCCGGGGGCCTTGGAGGCCCTTTGGGGGGCCATATTGGAGGACACCGATCAACTAAGGGGGGTCCAGAATTCGCCCCGCCCCTCTAGAGCCGCACGCATCGCCTCTTGGGGCCCTGTCTCTCCTGGGTGCTACTGGGGCCGTCTTGGAGCCCTCTTGGGCCCTTCTTTGGGTTTGCGCCATGCATGAGCA